CTCCCCACTCAGCCCTGAGATCTATTTCCCTCGAGAGTCCCCCTCAAAGGACCAGCCAGGGGCAGTCAAAACAACCCCAGATGGTTTGAAACACTAGAAAGCCAACAGTCAGCATTTAAGTAATCAGATTATAAGAGGTCTACGAGGAAGGTAGGTTTGAGATTGTCCATGAGTGATCAAGAATACCTCATCTACCCACTGTTGTTTTTTAAGATAAAACTGATCAGTTTTGTAATTAAATACACATTTGTTTAATCTCAGGAATTCCCTTTTAGGAATTAGGTTCATGTCAGGTCAAGTGCATCTAGCTCTTAATTATCTAAGGAGTTTTGATTGTCTTTGGCATTGCTCTTGAAACCCTCCAACTGACAGTCACAGTACTTGTAAAATAATTAGGAGTGAGGGTCACATGAACCTAAGTAACATTTGGTGGTCTTAAGAATTAAAAACCAACAAATGAATCTGCACTCTCCTTTGCACATGAATCATGCCTGGAATTTACTGTGAAATAGATCAATGCCAGATCCCATGAAATCTCACTATGGTCTCTCTTAACCCTTCAATCGTCCCAGAAGGGATGTTCACTTCACTCATTCACTTTTAATATGTGTTAAGGTGCAAGCCCAACAGAAGATCTGAATAGTCACTTTTCCAAAGACAACATACCAATGGCCAAACAGCACATGGAAAAAATATTCATCACCAGGTATAACCAGGTAAGTGCAAATCAAAACCACAAGGAACTCTTATCTCACACCTGTGAGAATGGCCCATAATCAGGGTGGAGAAGAAGCCTCGTACATCACTGATGCTAATATTAAGTTGGTGCAGCCTCTATGGAAAACAGTATGAAGATTCCTTCAAAAATTAAAAATAGAAATGCCAAAGGAACCAGCAATTCCACTTCTAGGTCTCTACCCAAAGAATATGAAAGCACAAAAATATCTGCACCCCTATGTTCAAACAGCATGTTTTATATATATATATATAATATATACATATATATATAAAATATATACATATATGTATATTATGTAATATGTATATAATATACATATATATAATATACACACAAAATATCTGTACCCCTATGTTCAAACAGTAAACAGCATTAATAACAAATGCCAAGACATCAAATCAACCCAAATGGCCATCAATGGGTGATGGGATAAAGAAGTTTGGTAGACTATGGAAAGCTGTGTGGACGATCCCCAAAATACTAAAAATGGATCTATCATATGATCCAGTGATTCCACTCCTAGGAATCTACCCAAAGGACACAAAAATCACTAATTCAAAAGGAAACCTGCACGCCTATGTTTATTGCAGCACTAATTACAATAGCCAAGATATGCAAACAACCTAAATACCCCCAAAACAGATGAGTGGATCCAGAAGATGTGGTCTATATACACAATGGAATACTACTCAGCAATCAAAAAGAGATATACCCTTGCCAATTGCAGCAACATGGATGGAGCTGGAAGGGATGATGCTCAGTGAAATAAGTCAGAAGGAAAAAGAAAAATATAGGATGTTTTCACTTATAGGAGGAATACTGGGAAACTGAACAAAGGGTAAGAGAGAGAGAGAGAGAAAGAGAGAGAGAAAACTTATAGGCAACTATAGATCTGAGGCACACAGCAGGGGAGAGGGAGGGAGAGGAGTCAAAACAGAGAGGGAAGAGTACAAGGGACTATGGTGATGGTTCAGGTGCTGCAGTGGTGGGAGATTTATGGGGACTACACCTGAGGGGAGGAATCAAATATTATGCAAAAACAAACAACAATGTGAGACAATTTTAAAAATTAGTTACTTAAAAAAAAAAAAAGAAATGGTAGGAATACTCACTGGTATACTACTACTCAGCTCTTATGAAATATGACATCTTGCCTTTTGCAACAACACGGATAGACCTTGATGTGAAAATGCTTAGCAAAATAAAACAGAAAGACGATTGCCAATTGTTTCATTCATATGTGGAATATAAATAAAGTGAACAGACTAACAAAACACAACAAAAATAACTCTCAGGTTCTAAGAAAAATAGGGTGGTTATCACAGGAAGGGGCCAAGGGGTGAGCGTGATGGTGTGAACCACACTAGGACTTGGTGGTGGGGTGAGGTGTATACACATCTCGAGGTGTGAAGATGCATTCACAGAACTTACAGAGTATGGTGAACCGATGGTGAATCAGAGCAAATTTATTTCAAACAAAAAAGATGCAAGCCAGGATGAGCCTGACTTCTGAGCCTGGATGCTTAACTACCATGCTAATCTGCCTCCCACTCCTCTAGGGAGATGGTGATAATGACCGACCCTAAATAGCTTTGCTTCTGATACTTATGAGAGTGGTGGTTGCCAAGCAAAACGTAGCAGTTGGCAACTTGAAACTCTGGACGTATGTTTTTGAGAAAAAAAAAGCCAGAACAAGTGTAAACTCCGTTGTCATGGCGCCTGGATTAAAATCCTCCAGCGACTCCTTCTTGCTGTGAGGTAGTTTTCTGGAATCCTCAACAGAGCAAACTGGCTGCCTCAGCCTGGCCCCACACCTGGCCTTCCTACTGCCCACTCTGAGCCTGCTCCAGCAGTAGGCCTCTTCCATGCTCAGATGCCGCTGGGCATCATTACTTTTCATAGGCTGTTCCTGGTCTCTGGCACTATTCCCTGCCTCCAGAGCTAACTCCTTTCTGTTCTCAAACTAGGTTATACACCTTCCTGATACCTGCCCCCATCAGTCACACAGTAACATCCTTGGTGTCATTTTTCAAAATAAAATCATTCCATGGTGTCATCATATACTCATTTCTTTAATCTGTGCCTCCTCTCCCTTTGCTAGACTCTGAGAACATGGAGACAGGAGCTGTCTCTGTTGCTATTATATGCGCTCCTGGCCCTGTGCATAACCCATAAATACTTGTCAAGGGAAGCAAAGACAGGGGTATCTTCTTTCCAGGAGTCACCTATGGACAAGCATGTAGCCTCAGCTGCATCAGGGCCTCCTGGGCGTGGGCTGGGCCCAACAGGGTCCATAAGACCCTGAGGGTGAACAGAGCCGAGATCCATCCAAGCATCTTATCTAATTTGCAGCCAATTCCAGTTCATCCAGTAGTAGCCTATTAACCATCATCCATGTTCTAGACACCGCAATTATTGCTTCCACATCTGTTATTTAATCTTCACCACGACCCCATGACTTAGGTCTGATTAAGACGTCTCATAGAAAAACAGGCCTTGTGGAGAATAACGTGGCTAATGTGTTCTGGGCCTGGTTCAAATTTCAGTGTTTTCCCACACACACTGCCAGATAAAATACAGAGCCCCAGCTTCACTTGCATTTCAGATAAACAATGGGTCATTTTATTCTTAGTATGTGTTAAATATTGCATAGGATATATCTATACTTTAAAAAAAAAAACAGAAAACAAAAAAAAACCCTGTTATTTAATCTGAATTTGAAGTCAAGCCGGGGATCCTATATTTTTATTAGCTGCATCTGCTAATGCTGTTTGTCCAATCACACTGGAGTATCAAGGAGTGGAAAACATGAATAAGCCTTTCATCAGACCACGAAGAACACTCCAAAGACACCTGGTCCTGTGGTCAGCAGCTGGAGGGTCAGGTGCAAACCAAACAGGATTGCATTTCCCCTGGAAACTCAGGTACTTCCTTCTCCCTGGCAGGCCTGGAAACACCTAGAACTGCCCCCCACAGCCCCCTGCATGTCCTCCCACAGCTGTCCACTCTGATATGCCCACTAAGTTCCCTCAGAGCCACTTGGAAATTTCTGGAAATACCTCTTCCCTAGAGAGTAGCCCAAAATCAGAGTTACTTGCTTGCTCATGTGTTTGTTTATTCCTTCCACTTTACATTTTAATCACCTTTTCATACCAGCCCCAAAGCTTGATCCGTTTTTCTTAATGTCATGAAATCTTGCACCTGTTAGAAGTCCTGAGGGGAGTAGAGGGGTCTCCCACTAATCCTCTAGAATTACCATCCTTAATTCTGGAGGATGGATAGATGGATGATATGTAGATGATAGATGGATAAATAGATGATGCATGCTCCCTTGCTCTTATTAGTGAAGGAAAATTAAAATCCAAGCTAAACAAATATGCAAACAAGCCCAAGACACGCTTCTGAGCCTAGAGTTAAGTGTGGCTTCCAAACCATCCCCACAGGAGGCGACCCTGCTGGCCAGCTGCTTAACTCCCTGTTTCTGAAGAAGAAACAGGTTTAGGAAAGTATTTTCCAATTCCTGTCATTCCACTCTGTGGGAATAGGATGGGGAGAAACAGAGAAGGAAAATTTAAGATTCCAACTTCTGTGAGACCACCTAGCCTTTGTTAATGAAGACAGTCTTTTAAATGTATCCAGTGCCTTTTTTTTTTTCAAGAAGGGGTTTGACTAAACAAATTGCTGTTGTTTATTGTTAACAATGCATCTCCTTTCCCACCTCAGTATCACTGGGAAGAATGGAGGCGGTGTTGGGAGGGATCCGCATCCTAATGACGGGGTCTGGGAACTGCCTCCTCAGGACACCTTTTATAGGGTCCCCCATTACATGTCCTGAACCCACAGTTGTTTCTGTGTACCCTCACATGGTGTTATTGGAGCTCCAATTACTGCTGGTGATATCCCCAAAGAGGCTGTTTAAGGGTACACATCTCGCAGGGTGCAGACTCAGCCACTTACTGGCGTTCTGACCCACCTTGGCCAAATTCTGTAACTGTACCTCTGATGCAGGGCTCTCCGGGTACTAAACCCTCTAAGAAAACGGTCCAATAGGGGACACTCTCTTTGGGTTCTTCACCCACACACACAATTGCAAGACCACTCAAGCTCAGGGAACAACAGTAATGGGGCTTATTTAACAAGTGGCCAGCTATCCTGCAGTGTCCAGAAGGCCCAAACCAAAGCCACACCTCCAAGACTATATCACCCGCCAATAATTGCCAGGAGACCTGGCAGTGGTAATTAGGGCCAGGATCCAACTCACCTTGGCAGCCCAGCCAGAGAGGTTCACAGACCGGCCAGTGAAAAGATGCAACAGCAGCCCACAGCAACAATCCAAAGGTCAGGGTGAACAGCAACCAATGCTGGAGCAGACAGCAGCGGAGATGATGGCGGATCCTATAAACAGCTCTTTCTGACCCTTTGGCCCATACTAACAACAACTCAGTGAGATACTAGGCCTGGAGCCTCTGCTCTCTCTCTCTCCTCTCACTCTCCAGACAGACCCAAGGCAGATTCAGGCAACTGGTGATCTGCAAAGCTTTTCAGTTAAGTTTGGACCCTTGGCTTGTAGGGGAGGTGGGGGGTGGGGGCGGTGGTCTGGAAGAATACATGCCTCCAGGCTTGCTCCTACTATTTCTTATCTTTTCAGATCCCCCATCATACTTCCTGCCTATTCACCTTGGTCTTTTCAACCTGCCCCCAGGGCAGGAACGCCCATCTATATAGCAGCCTTCAGTGCAAGCAGAGGCCACATTTTTCAAAGCTTTGTAAAACACCACTCTTTCCTGAAGTGCAATTGTAAGGCCCTGGTAACATCTCAACCCCTCCCCTGATAAAATAGGAGAATTGAGTGGTGTGAGGGGCTCCCTGAGAGACAGAATACAGGCCATTATGCCTGCCCAGGAGAGGAATAAGTAAAAGTCCATCACTTTATTTCTTAGAATAATCCCATTTAAATCCTATTTTCTTCAAACTTCACTGAAAGACCTTTAAAACCAAGTTTCTACACTAGTATCTTCCTAACCAGATTGTTGGTAGTTTTTCCCAGTATGAAATAATAGCTTACCTGACCCTGCGGCCAGATAAATTAAAGTTTATCAAAATTTGGTAAATATCATGAAAGAGAAGACAACAGATTCACAAAGCTGGTGTTGGATGTTTCAGGTCTGGTGGCAACTCACTGTGGGTCCCTAAGCAACTGGCTTCAGCTGGTTAGTACTCACGTGAACCATAGGAAATAAGAAGGGAGTTTAAATCACCTTCTTCCTTCCTTCCAGCATTAAAATTTTAATTCTTTGAAGAGTCAGAATATACAGGTTATAACCACACTGGGTTTTTTCAGAAGACATCATCATAATGCAGAGAATGTACAGGAGCGAGATTCCCTACATCGAGACCACAGTTTTTAAAACTAAAAACAAAATCCTGTAATTAGAAACTTAATGTCATGACTAAATTGTTAAAAACAACGAGCAAACCACAGGAATGCGTCTGTGAAACTTGTCCATCGAGTCGTTCATGTTATTTTCATCCCACATCCAGTAATACCCACTTCTAATGATGTCAGCTGCTGGAATCCAGGCTTCCTCCTCAAACTTGTCCTGGGTAATAAAATGTGGAAACTTCCAGTCCCAGCCTCACAGACCCTACCATGGCACCAGGTTGGTAGCTTAAAGACCAACAGTATTTACAACATAGATATGGGCAAAAGCAGCACATGAAAACTGTTTCCTACATCTACCTGCCCCACAAGCTGGCTGTTAAAACATTTACCTGTACATCTTATTAGATGTTTAATTTGCTCCTAGTAAAACATAAAATTTCAAATCCCAAACTAAAGCTTATTGTGAGCTGGTCTTCTTACTTAAGGGCTCTTTTGTAAAGACCTCTAAGGTCAAGCAGAATTTATCCTACTTTTTTAGAATCTTTGGGGGGGGGGGTGTTCACTCATATGTTATATATACACATAGGTTTGAAATGATTGTTTTATGGGAGAACAGAGTATATCCCATTATCTTCCTTATTGTATGGCTTCCTGGTCTTATGTGTAAATCTTTAATTTCTTTCTAGTATTTGCTAATTAATGAGTTCTCTCTCCTCTCTCTCTGTCTCTATCTCAATTTTAATCCCATTATATTTGGGGAGAATGTGGGCTGAATAAAGTTATCTTAAAGTTCACATGGAAAAATAAATGACCAAAGATAGCAAAGAAAAAGCTTTTAAGTGGGGGTGGAAGGGGAAAGGAGAGACTTGCCTTACCAGCTAAGACACACTATGCCACTCTAACACTACACTCAAAATAAAATGATATTGGCATCAAGATAGACAAATAAATTCATGAAACAAAACAGAATTCCAGAAACGGATGTTAATTTATTTGGGAATTTAAGAAATGGCACAGTTGGTATTTCAGTTTGGTGGGTAGAGGTTTGTTTATTAGACAAATAATGCTGGCACAAATGGTTCTCCATCTGGAAGGGAGGAAACTGGAAGAGCATCTTACACTACATATCAAACTGCAGCTATATGGTGTAAAGATTTTAATATAAAAATAAAATTTATAATAATAATTTACTGGAAAGTTTGGGAAAATATAAATATGACACAGGTAACAGGTTTTTTATCAAGCAAAAAAAGGGGGGATAAAGGGAGACATGAAATGTGCAGAGAATAAAACAAAAAATTTAAGCTATAAGGCATGATATATATAGTATAAATTAAATCCAAAGACAAATATATACTGGGGGCAAATACATGTAACATACATAATAAGGAGTTAACCTGCAGATAAAGGCAATGGATTATTCATAATATACATAATGCTCTCACATGTTAACATAAGGACATACAACCCCAAAGCAAAGGTGGCAAAGGAAAGGGCAATACAGACAGATGGCCAGCACGTATATGAAAAGATGCTCAACCCCACTGGTGACCAGGAAAATGAAGGAAAGTAGCAAGGAGAGCCCACTCAGTGAGGAAACACACTTTGAACACAGTATCTCTCCACTGGCAGGGAAGTTGGTAAAGAATACTCTCACACACTTTCTGGTAAATTTATAAGTGGTTGCCTGCTTTCTGCAAAGCAATCTGACAAATATCTACTAAACAAATGTAAAAGAATCCCTGTCTTTGAAAGTGGAAATTCCATTTCCAGGAATAGAATGTAGGTGACAAAAATAAAAGCATTGGTAGGTTAAGGACCTTTTAATGTTAATCATAACCAGGTCCTAGCAGCCAAATGTGAGAGAGAGAACTAAAAATCTATTAAAAGAGAACTATTGGATTAGATTTTCATAAATATGTTCAATGAAAGATGATAGTCATTAAAGAATGGTTTGCATGGCAGCTTTTATTTAATAGCTCCAACCTGGAAACAGCCCAGGTGTCTGTCACCAAGAGCAAAGAACACACTCTCAGAACATACTCTTAGAACACATTTCAGAGGTAATGCTCATCAAATGGAACACAGCAGAGGGGGAAAAAAGGAGAATAAACTCCTGCTATTGCAACAATCCAGGTGGATTTCAGGAACATCACGGCTTGTGGAAGAAGTGGTACAAGAGTCCACGGCACGTGGATCTATATAAGTCACTTGTGTCCATAGATGATGCTGAAAAGAAGGCAAAACTAACTGATGGTGGGAAAAAGCAGAACAGGGAATTGGCTGGGCAGGGTTCTGGCTGACAGGGGTGAATGGCTGTTCCAGAAACTATCCAAGGATACATTCCAGGTGAGTGCCTTAGGTTGTGTAAAAGATTTTGCTTCCAAAGGAAAAAAACTAATATTGAGCATGAACAAGTGCTATGCATGCAGATTTTTTTGAGGGGGATGGAGGGGGACAGATATTGATTTCTGTCACTTAGTTTGAAATATATTTGTTAATAAAATAAAATGAAATGATGAAGGCCAAATGGATGGGGGAGGTGGAAATCAAGATCACTATTAAAAGTTTACAGTTAGGGGCCTCCCCTGGTGGCGCAGTGGTTGAGCGCTGGTCTGCGAAGCTGCCCACAGCGTCTGCAGCACCGGTGCCATCCCCAGCCGTAGGCGAGGGGCCCACATGGCACGCAGACCTCTCCTGCGGCCCGCTGCTCCCCTCAGCAGTGTACTTCGTCAGTCTGCCTGTTCTGTTTCCCACTCTGGCTCTGCTGAATTCTCTCACCCTCCCGCACTTCTGACTGTACCCAGTGCTTGTATAAATAAATAAATAAATCTTTTCAAAAAAAGTTTAGTTAGAATCTGAGTAGCAGGAAAGGGTGTTTCCCATAACATTCTTTCCACACAATGTGGGGGAGGATGATTACCTCTATCAAATGATTGAAAAGGTTTCTACAGGGACACAACAAAATGTAGCAAAAGTGTACATAATGAGAGTCCATTTTCATTAAATAAGCAGTGCGGTAATGCATTCACATATGTGTATATCTACATTGTATAATAATCATATGGACATGAAGGCAAGTATTAAAGAAATCCATCCTAGTGGGTGGTTAAAGAATGGGAGGGAAATGGGAAAGGCAAAGTAAAAAGAGGGGAGAACACAGTCAGAGGGGAGGTCACACATAGCTTGTTAGCTCAGAGTGGCAGATTTCCCCAAGATTTCCATTTTTTTACAATGTTGGTGCTGTTTAAACATGTTTTTTTACTGCTCATTTATATTGATCATTTGAATGTTATTTTTTGTTTAGGAAAACTATAAAATCAAATAAAAAATATTTTGTATTCTAATTCCTAAGGGGGCCCTGGAATCACCTCAGACCCCCCAAAACCACAGAACACCGGCCTGCTGGTTGGCTGGCTATGTAACTTTGGGCAAATCACTTAACTGAGCTTCGCCCACAAAATGGAGGTGAGGACAGAACTGGCCTCAGGGGGTGGTTGAAAAGGTTTAAATGAGATCATACAAATAGCTTCTGACACCTTATATGGATAATCAAATTTAGCTACTTATTTTATTGTTGTATGCACAAATTTCTTTTCATTTTGTAATTTTTCTAAAATGTAAAATATCTAGATATTAGGCTGTCACCCCAGTTAACTGCTACCAGAGAAGAATGACAGTGCTGGGTTTGTTTTTGTTTGGTTTATTTTTTAAAGATTTATTTATTTATGCATACAAGAACTGGAATAGAACTCGTGCTACAGTGGCTGGCGATAGCTTGATAGCGCTGTCTTTAACCCCTGAACCACCAGGGACGCCCTGACAGTGCTGTTTGAAGTCACTTTCAAACCCACTGAATGGGATGCTTTCAGATTTAAAAAAAAAAAAAAAAATCCTTGAATGTAACAAACAACATACCCATCCAGGGCTGGTTCCAAAAAAATATAATTTCTTAACAGAAAGTGATATCTATAACAGCTATTTTTTTTTTTCTTTACTATACCAGTGAAGAGCAAGACTTCACAAAAGTAAAACCTTGTAAGCACACATTGCACACTCTCGTCACTAATTAACTGTTCCTCTTATCTAAACATGAGCCTGCCTTTGAACCTGAACCATTATCTGGACC